TTGCTGGAATATCAAAATGTATACTGACTTTTAAGTCAACATGAAATTAAAACTGATCCTCTTTATTTAAATAAATGCTCCTTGTCTTACTGTTCATAGATAGACAGACAGATATATAGATAGATAGATAGACAGATAGATAGATAGATAGATATAAACTGGTATATTTAAAGTTATAAAAACACATTTTAGACTTAATATTAAGAAATGTGCATTGTGCACAAGTAGTACGCCAAACAAAGTTTAATTATAATTTTTATATCAGTAAGCAATATGCCAGTAAATATTTTAACAGATGTGAACTATAGTTAGTATGAAATAAATGTATTTTACTAGGGTACTACTACTCATTTAAAGAAGCATCTGAGAGAAATTTGCTGGAATATCAAAATGTATACTGACTTTTAAGTCAACATGAAAACATGAAATATCCTCTTTATTTAAATAAATGTTCCTTGTCTTACTGTTCATAGATAGACAGACAGATATATAGATAGATAGATAGACAGATAGATAGATAGATAGAAATCATTCTAATATGCTGATTTGGTGCTTATTAAGGTCTTATTACCAATGTTAAACAGCTGTGCTGTTAAATATTTTTTTGTGGAAACGGTGACACATTTCTTTCAGGATTCTTTAATGAATAGAAAGTTCAGAAGAACAGCATTTATTTGAATAATTTTTGTATCAGTTGTATCAGAATTTTTTTTCTTTAAAAAAAAAAAACACCTTTGTACAGCAGTGCATGTAATATAGAGTAAATATTTATTTGATCAAAGATAATTTAGGAGCACACTAGCACACAGTCACAAACATTTTAAAATCATGGGGTCTTTAAATTGAGCTATTTTATAATTCAGGATGCACCTTTGTACAGCAGTGCATGTAATATAGAGTATAATTTTAAATATTTATTTGATCAAAGATAATTTAGGAGCACACTAGCACACACAGTCACAAACATTTTAAAATCATGGGGTCTTTAAATTGAGCTATTTTATAATTCAGGATGAAATGACCAAGGCTTCAGTTCAGCACAAGAACATCAGCACTCACTCTGAAAACAGGGATGTCAACCGGGCCGAGGTTTTCCGTAATGGCGGGATCATCTCCTTCCTGAGTCTGAAAATGAAACATCAGCCAGGCCACTGCATACACTGTGATGTTGGCTATCACCGTAAAGGCATACCTAACAGATACACCCAAAACACAATAAAAGTGTTATTAAAAGCTAATACATCATCCTGGTCACTACAGACAAAGTCCTCCAAACAAGCATCACGAGAATGGTTGATCATCACATGCTCAGATCTGCATGAGTTTACCTGTACGCAGTGAGCTCCACTTTTTCATGCTCGCAAGTCACCAGCTCTGGAATGAGGGAGAGATGGGAAATCTGGGTGGCCGCCCATCCAAACTGGAAGATGACGATGAATGGGGTGAAGTAAGTGAGACTGACCCACTGTGGAGTGTCCAGATCACAGCCCAGGCACTGGTTAAATATAAAGGGGAACGACAGGAGAACGCTAATAGTCCCTAGGTAGAGTAAAAAGAGAGTAAATGTTACCCTGGAGCAAAAAAAAAAAACAGTCTTAAGTCGCTGGGGTATATTTGTAGCAATAGCCAACAATACATTGTATGGGTCAAAATTATCGATTTTTCTTTTATGCCAAAAATCATTAGGATATTAAGTAAAGATTATGTTCCATTAAGATATTTTGTCAATTTCCTACTGTAAATATATCAAAGCTTAATTTTTGATTAGTAATATGCATTGCTAAGAACTTAATTTGGACAACTTCAAAGGTGTTTTCTCAATATCCTCAGATTCCAGATTTTCAATTAGTTGGATGTCAGCCAAATATTGTCCTATCCTAACAAACCATACATCAATGGAAAGATTATTTATTCATAAAAAATGACCCTTATGACTGGTTTTATGGTCCAGGGTCACAAATGAGAATAATATATCATACATTAATATGCAAGAAATAAAGAGACAGATTACCCCAAAACAATTGTGTCATAATTTACTAAGGACATAATTAAAATAAATTAAAGTGAATGTTCATCCCAGAAGTCTTATTTTGAAAGTAATACCGGTCTAGAACAACATAAAGGTGATGACAGGCGCAATTTTGGCTGAACTGTCCCTTTAAGACCCTCGTCACTCACCAACTAAATGCCATGTTTTTCTCTTCCCATATGATCCACAGCCGGGTGACTTATCAGACTCATAACCGATGAGCGGAGTGCTCACTCCATCCGCTATCTGTCCCACTAGCAGCAACACACCAGCATAAGTGTTCTGAAAGCCCAGCACTGAGTGATAGAACACCAGCAGGTATGTGAACCACATAGAAGCACACAGGTCGTTGAGAAAATGCCCCACTGAGTAACTCAAGCGCCTGAAAGCGGGTAAAGAGGCTTCTGAGGAGTCCGACATGATTAACGTGATACAGTCAACCCACAGTCGGCTAAAAATGCGTATTCCCTTTTATCCACCTCTGCATATTGTCCTGTCCAGCGCCGGGTTCCTCACTGCAGAGAGAATGAGTCTGGTGTGAAGCTTAAGGCTCGGTCCATCACTGTGACTGTAGCGAGAGTCCGTTCCTAAGGATTTGGTCAGCTGACTTCGTAAATGAGTCACGATGGAGGAGGCGCGAATTGAAATTGTAATATTCTTTCGTGAATTGAGATTTACAGTTTTATATGTAATGTTGGTAAATATTAATGCAGCACGGTTAATGTTGAATTTGATCTTGTGCGAAAAACGTATAGCGTAGCGCCTTGTTATTTTCGATTCATGTTGTCATGACGCGTTTATTAAGCCACACCCTCTCTCATCTGTGTTGCCATATCCTCTTTAATAAGAGCGACTTATGGTGGTGTTGTTTTCAAAATAAGAGCAGTCGTGGTTTTTAAGATAATTTCCACAACACGCGGTTTTAAACTCGTTTCCGCAATACAGTATTTATTTACTTTTTGATAGTACTTGAGCCACATGACATGACACGGTTGACATATATCCCCAGCTGGTGTTCAAGCAGCACTCTACATATACTACATTCCTCAGTGTTTCTGCTTTTCTTTCCTCATCTTGTGCGCGCTCGAGAGATTTAGTTCACTAATTTTAGTTGATTTAGATTTTTATTTTTTTAGGAAATCTGGCAACACTGCATCCATTCCCTTATGAAAATTAACCATGGTTTTGCTACAAATAAAACAACAAAAAAACATGGTTACTACAGTTCAACCATGGTAACCACAAATTGACCACAGATTTGCTACATTAACCAGTTTAACCATGGTATTTGTAATAAAACAGTGGTTATACAAATGGTAATTAACACGAAATGTACTTCTTGCCACTCAGCAACACTAAATTCAATGCGTATTTCGTTCGTTTAAGTTAAATCTCTAATGTCACAACTAAGTTTAACCCAAAAATAAAAAATTATGTCATCATTTACTCACCTTCACGTTATTGCAAATCTGTATGACTAAATAAGAGCAGTCGTGGTTTTTAAGATAATTTCCACAACACGCGGTTTTAAACTCGTTTCCGCAATACAGTATTTATTTACTTTTTGATAGTACTTGAGCCACATGACATGACACGGTTGACATATATCCCCAGCTGGTGTTCAAGCAGCACTCTACATATACTACATTCCTCCGTGTTTCTGCTTTTCTTTCCTCATCTTGTGCGCGCTCGAGAGATTTAGTTCACTAATTTTAGTTGATTTAGATTTTTATTTTTTAGGAAATCTGGCAACACTGCATCCATTCCCTTATGAAAATTAACCATGGTTTTGCTACAAATAAAACAACAAAAAAACATGGTTACTACAGTTCAACCATGGTAACCACAAATTGACCACAGATTTGCTACATTAACCAGTTTAACCATGGTATTTGTAATAAAACAGTGGTTATACAAATGGTAATTAACACGAAATGTACTTCTTGCCACTCAGCAACACTAAATTCAATGCGTATTTCGTTCGTTTAAGTTAAATCTCTAATGTCACAACTAAGTTTAACCCAAAAATAAAAAATTATGTCATCATTTACTCACCTTCACGTTATTGCAAATCTGTATGACTTCTTGGTTCCTGTTGACTTCCATGGGAATGGGAACCAAAACGGTTTGGTTCCCAACATTCTTCAAATTATCTCTTTTGTTTTCCGCAGAAGATAAGTCATACATGTTTGGAACGACATGAGGGTGAGCAAAAATGACAGAATTCATTTTTGGGTGAACTATGCCTTTAATTCATCCCTTCAACGACCGTTTTTATTTCTTTAAAAAAAACTGAACACCGTTTTGAAAAACCTGGATATATGAGGTAGCCTGATTTTAAAAGCGTAAATTCTAGACCCTTCTAGTCATGTAAATGAATACAATCACATAACTTCATAGACATTTGTATAAATACATATTTTTCTAGTTATTTCAAGCTCTAAAATATTTTATCAGTAAGAAACTGAGCTAAAAAATAAAAATAAAATAAATCCTTATTCTTAACCCTTGTCCAGTAAATCATGAATAACTGGTTGAGAACCACTGCTCTTCACTATATCGAAAAACAGTCCATTCATTGTTCTTGACTTTGTAATAAAAATGTTAACGATTGAAAAAAATCACAGGATGTCATAATTGGTTGGCTCTGCTGTATCTAAGAAATTAGGGGGGGGGGGAAAGTAATTTGAAAGTGTAAAAATGTCCTGCTGTAGCACTGTACAATAAACTACAAGGGTGTGACACCTACTTTCATGTGCAATAAAAGTTCAGGCCCTTGCCCTGTAGCTCCAGATGTGTTCTATGGCACCGCATCCTGGTGAGTCCCTGCAACTGCCTCTGTATGGTCACGTGATATTGACTGTACTGAAATAACTGTTGCTTTTTCTGAAATAACCGCAATAATTAACCACAACCAGAAACTCAAAACAGTGATTGTGCACAGACACAACATGTAACATCTTATGAGGCATAGAAGAAAAGCAACATTTAATAGGTATGTAAATCAATACACATCCTTATTCTGATAGGCAACCTCTGTTACTGCGTATAAGCCCACAGACTCACGTCTTCATGGAGCTTTGCTGATGCACTTTACAACAGTGAAAAGAAATCTGAGAAATGCCAACAGGCTCCATTAGACTGGCATGGAGTGCACGCTAGAGAACAAACAATCTGAGAGGGCCATGGACACCTCACCTGGATAGGAATCATAGAGAGGGGCACATTAGTGTTAAAAGTTTTACTTGGAAAGGCACAAACTATGATTCCCAGGTAACTTAATCTAATGGGAAATACAAAAAAATGCACAATTTTGACTGAGAGAATCACTTTTGTCCCTGTGGGAGAGACCAGCCTGCTGGATAAATGATCCCACGTCTGCCTTTATTTCCTGTTTCCTATTCATTTCAATGCCAGAAATGTCAAACGCTTTGCTTTATCCCCCCAAAAGTGCAATTCACAGAGGAGAGATCCAATGCATTTCTCTCCGTCTCCCACAGTACCTGAGACCAGCCACTGTGCTACAACATCATCATCATCATCCACATCGACACTGACAGGGACAAAGAGGAAGTAAAAAAAGCAAAAGAAGAGAAAATAAAGAAACACTAAAAGCGGTTAAAAAATGTTCACACATTCTACAACATGAGTAAAACTGGGAGAGCAGATCTTCAAAATGTTTTAAATTACACAAACAAAAAGGAATGACAGAATTTACATAAGGTTTTCTGAATCCGGTGTACTTTTCTCCATACGTCAGTCAGCAGTCTCTCCCCACTTACTTTGATCCCATAAAAAAAAAAAAAAAACACCATGGAGCACATCACTCACTCATCCAGCCAGTGTGCCAAAGTGAACGGATGTCTGTGTGTAAGTGTGAGTCTGGTTGCCTTTTAGTTCTCAAATAATGGTTTTGCATGTCATCTAAAATACAAGTTTAAACAGTCCATCTGGGTTTAAGTCACATATCATATATCATCTTATTTCTGACCACTGAGGTCTTTTCTGGTGTCCCGCATTGTACAAATATATTTATTTGTTCCACTGAATTGTTTCCTTACAAAGAGTGTCAGAGCCCAGAGTACTGAGGTGTGTCCTCTGAGCAGATGCCAAAAGTGAGGCAGTGAGTTTCTGTTCTGAGGTGGAGCTCCACGTTTCAGCTCAAGTCCTTTGCTTTTATTTTTTACTTTAAACGCACCCGTGATCTTAACGTTTTTAAAGATGTTCCTCCTCACTTGTGCCGCTGGAGCGCTTTCCTCTTCCTCCTCTTGAAAAAACAACAGCACCTGAAAAGAGCGAAGGAGTTGAAGACGGTTTTGCAATCTCCTCCCTTTATTCTCAAACTTGATAAACACAGTCCAAGTAAAGCAGTTGAAAGCAAATTTAAAAAACCCAGCAGGACAAAGAAAGGCCCAAATGTCTCCTAATGTTAGCATGGGATTAGACTGCACAATTATGCACAACTATATGTAACTGGTGCTTATGTAACCAAAACAATGCTGTAACAATGTTTCGAACCATTTAAGACCCATGACAACTACAGTTTCCACATGCTCCAGCATTCTTTTCTTATTTACCATCATTTTTGGGCAACTATAGATGGCATACAAGTACAACACCTTAGGAACTTGCCATGTGGTATTGCATATATTATTTAAAAATTTTGAAAAAATATATATAAATGGAAGTGATGCATGTTCTTTTTGTATTATTTATATCGGACTATTATAATATTTACAAATTGTTAAATTATTTAAAATAAAAGTTACTTTTATTTTTCATTTTAATTTGAGTAAATTTATGTGCTTATTTATTTAGTTTCTTTTTGGTAGCACTTTACAATGTGTCATTTGTTATCATTAGTTAGTGTGTTAGTTCACCCAAAAATGAAAATTCTGTCATTAATTACTCACCCTCGTGTTGTTCCAAACCCGTAAGACCTTCGTTCATCTTCGGAACACAATTTAAGATATTTTTGATGAAATATGAGGGCTCTCTGACCCTCCCATAGACTGCAAGGTAACTACCACGTTCAAGGTCCAGAAAAGTACCAAGATGATCGACAAAGTATTCCGTGTAACATCAGTGGTTCAACTGTAAAGTTACGAAGCTACGAGAATACTTTTTTGCGCAAAGAAAACCAAAATAACGACTTTATTCCACATTTTCGTCTCTACTGTGTCACTTTGGACACGCGTTCACGACAGTACCATGACGCGAACGTGTGGCGGCGCTGACCCAGATCCGGCGTAATGACGTCATCACGCCGGATCTGGGTCAGCCCCGGCGCCGCCACATGCTCGCGTCATGGTACCGAACAGTATTTATATAATTTTTTACCTCTGATACAGCACTATGTCCAACTTCCTTGAGAGCGCGCACGGCATCCAATGCGTGAGGTGTGTACGCGCTCTGGCGTAGTTTACGTCAATGGGTGTTGATATCCAACCAAAGAGCAATCAACCATACCTTCAGGCGAGCAGGCTCAGAAGTTGGGAATACGTGGAAAGTCACCAGTCCCGAATGAGCGAGAGAACGTAATCTTTTAGTTTTAAGTCGGTTTGAACAATCCGGATAAGTGCAAGTAAGTACCATTTTGATTAGCCGTCATACCTACAATGACTCTGTAAACCAGGGGTTTTCAACCTTTTAGGACATGCGCCCCCCCAAGTTGGTCTAACCCCCCCACCATTACTGTAGAAAAATCCGAATTACTTAAATTAACATTAACATAAAAGCAAATATCCATTAAAGCTACTAAAGCAGCGAACAATTTTTCTTTTGCTCTTTCTGTAGCGATATTAAATGCACATTATGCTGATGTACATTTGATATTTTCTTTACCGTTTACATTCACTTAAAACAACCGACTGTGCTGACAGGGATACTTGTCAAGGCAGCCATTGGTATTCACCTGCTGTCTGAGAAGGCTATCTGTTTATGCACTTCAGGTGTGTGAGCGGTGCGCATAGAAACTAGAGGTCTGCACAGGCTTTAAACTGAAGCCCGAGCCCGAACCCGAACCCGGCCCGTACCCGAGATCGTCTGACCCGGCCCGACCCGAGCGGTACAGTTAAATTTAGAGCCCGAACCCGAATTTTTTTCTCTCACTACGAATAGCCAATTTTAAAAAAAATGCTGTAAAAATGCTAAACAAATACATGTAACGAAACAGAATCATTAAGGCTCGGACAGTTCACAAGGCAAAAGAAAAAACACTTACCAGTTATGAAAGTTTATGAACATCAGGTGCAGCGGTCACATAAATTCTGCCGAGTTTTTGAATTGTTGTATACGACAAGACGATAATTATTCCATCGTGCAAATTATGCTAATTTTCATCAGTTAAGGCTCGTTAGCATTCGGCCTGCTTTAAATCAGACACAGAGATGCAGTGCGGTAAGATCGCATTTATTTG